AATATAATATAATTTTCGCTTGGATCTGAGACCTTTGAACCTGACCTGGCTTTGTGTGTGTCTGTTTGTGTGGCGTTCAGGCGACCATAGCAGAGAAGCTGAGTCACAGATGCCCGTGCTGTGAGGCTGTGTTTGCCACCAAGGTGCGTCTTCAGAAGCACAAGCTGTGGAACCACCCAGAAAGGGTCACCATGGAGACCAAGTCAGGGGTCACCAAATCTGATCCCAAGTCCGAACCCAAACAACAGAAAAGCCCTGTGAAGGGAAATGCCAAAAAAAGGTGTGAAAGCTCAGTATCCTTTTCCTGAATGATGAATTTCTGCAGCAGTTTCGAATTGGAATTTTCTGACTTTAGTCACACACAACAAAAATCGCTTCAGGACATGACTTGTTTTCCACACTGCCATCATTAGATTCCAGATGAAGTCCTCTTGTGTTACTATAGCACCAGTCCTCTGTGGATTGACTTGAATAGCCTGTGTTCCCTGTGCTCCCTCTCAGGCCCATAGAGAACAGCCCTACATCACCCGTAATTGTCAAGGTGAAGAAGACCCAGGAGGTGTCTCAGCCCTCACATAATGGGGAGTGCGCCCCCCTGAGGCCGGACAGAAAACAGCAGCAGGGGACGTCCGTAGACACTGGGGACAGTGAGAGCGAGGGGGGCAGTCTACCCCCACCCTTCCCTGAGGAGGACCCTGAGAGAATGAAGCACAGTAAGAATGCTACACACTGAGATTAATGCTGCGCATGTCAGCTCTGAAACCCCTGTCCATGGTAATACCATGATATTCTTTGAAGTACCATATGTAATACCGTAATGCATGAATATGCTAATCATTCAGTACCATGGTATCGCTACAGTACAATAAGTTTGGCCCGCTGTCCAGGGGCCGGTGTGAGAGACTTTGTGGCCAGTAACATCAAGTACAAGCATTTTTATGCCTTGCAAATTTGAACATTTGGTTTTCTGTGACATTTGAATGTCAATTCTGCTTGTCAGTTTTTTGTTTTTTGACTTTTCAGCCACATAAAGTGAACTAGTTAACTGACAAGTTGTGGAAATGTTTTTTTTTTCATACAGGATGACTTGTGATTGGTAGCATTATTACAAACAAATGACAGAAAATCAGTAATGTTTTATAATGTCTATGTACGCCATCATTTTCCAGCAGGTGTTTGCAATTTTATTGTTACCTTAAATTTTCCTATATAATGTATAACTATTATTGTAAATCTTTGTAAAGTTTAAATTAGTTTTGTTCATCAAAAGTGATGTTCTTTAAAGTTCTTTACAAAAAAAGTTACTCTATATACTGTGCATATGTAAATGTATAATAAATCATTTTAAAGTAATTATTAAATAATACATGTAAAATTAATACATTATACATCTAAATATATGATTTACATTTTACGATTTACGATTTACATTACAAATTTGTCATTTTTTGTGTTGTTTCGACCGAAAATGTGGGCAAAAACGTACACCCTATAGGTTTTTATTTACAAACAAAAGACACACTGTATACTGCGTATGTGTAAAAAAGTATAATAAAATAATGTTTTTTAATCATTTTAAATTAAATATTAAATACTAAATGTAAAAAAAGAACACATTTAACATTCTACATGTAAATATAAAATTATAAACTCAAATTCAGTTAAATTGCATTTTTTAAATATAATTTTTTGTGTTGTTGCCAGTTAAAATGTAGGCAAAAAGTTATTTGCAAAAACATACTTTACTGTGTATGTGTAAAAATGTATAATAAATAATGAATGTTTTTAAAATCATTTATTTTGAATAATTAATAAGTAATTTAAAAATAAAACATTTGCAATTATATTATACATTTAAATGCAATTTATTTATAAATTTTTGTTGTTGTTGTTGTTTGCACTGAAAATATAGTCATTTGTGGAAAAATGTGAGAAATATGAACTACTGGTCAGATCTCAAATAGTCTGTTTGATTGAATTGAATGTTAGAAGAATAGAATGTTTCACATTTTCACGAAGAAATTTGTATTTTTTTCGCAAATGAAATTTCACTCTTAAGTAATAAAACGTGCCATTGGGTGATTCTGCAAACTGTCATGTTAATAATGCATAACCAGATGTCCGTCATCTAGAAAAGTAGTTCCACCTCAAAAGGATGAAGTGCCCAGTACTCTTTCTGTACTAAAATTTTCAGGGTTCGGTCTCAAAATTGCTATAACAGTTCTCATTAAGACGTCCCAGAATGCCCTCATTGGCTTTTGTAGGAAAAGGTGGCCTGGCTCTTTAAGCAGCAGTGTGTAAGTTTTCTGTGTTAGATCCGTCTGAGGGCTGCTGGTCATTAAGTCTCTCTGGTAGCTGGTGGCGGCTGCTGTCTCTGTCTCTGCCTGGCAGAGACGCAGTGTGTCGAGATGTCGGCGTGGTGATTGGTAGCATTATTACAAACAAATGACAGAAAATCAGTAATGTTTTATAATGTCTATGTACGCCATCATTTTCCAGCAGGTGTTTGCAATTTTATTGTTACCTTAAATTTTCCTATATAATGTATAACTATTATTGTAAATCTTTGTAAAGTTTAAATTAGTTTTGTTCATCAAAAGTGATGTTCTTTAAAGTTCTTTACAAAAAAAGTTACTCTATATACTGTGCATATGTAAATGTATAATAAATCATTTTAAAGTAATTATTAAATAATACATGTAAAATTAATACATTATACATCTAAATATATGATTTACATTTTACGATTTACGATTTACATTACAAATTTGTCATTTTTTGTGTTGTTTCGACCGAAAATGTGGGCAAAAACGTACACCCTATAGGTTTTTATTTACAAACAAAAGACACACTGTATACTGCGTATGTGTAAAAAAGTATAATAAAATAATGTTTTTTAATCATTTTAAATTAAATATTAAATACTAAATGTAAAAAAAGAACACATTTAACATTCTACATGTAAATATAAAATTATAAACTCAAATTCAGTTAAATTGCATTTTTTAAATATAATTTTTTGTGTTGTTGCCAGTTAAAATGTAGGCAAAAAGTTATTTGCAAAAACATACTTTACTGTGTATGTGTAAAAATGTATAATAAATAATGAATGTTTTTAAAATCATTTATTTTGAATAATTAATAAGTAATTTAAAAATAAAACATTTGCAATTATATTATACATTTAAATGCAATTTATTTATAAATTTTTGTTGTTGTTGTTGTTTGCACTGAAAATATAGTCATTTGTGGAAAAATGTGAGAAATATGAACTACTGGTCAGATCTCAAATAGTCTGTTTGATTGAATTGAATGTTAGAAGAATAGAATGTTTCACATTTTCACGAAGAAATTTGTATTTTTTTCGCAAATGAAATTTCACTCTTAAGTAATAAAACGTGCCATTGGGTGATTCTGCAAACTGTCATGTTAATAATGCATAACCAGATGTCCGTCATCTAGAAAAGTAGTTCCACCTCAAAAGGATGAAGTGCCCAGTACTCTTTCTGTACTAAAATTTTCAGGGTTCGGTCTCAAAATTGCTATAACAGTTCTCATTAAGACGTCCCAGAATGCCCTCATTGGCTTTTGTAGGAAAAGGTGGCCTGGCTCTTTAAGCAGCAGTGTGTAAGTTTTCTGTGTTAGATCCGTCTGAGGGCTGCTGGTCATTAAGTCTCTCTGGTAGCTGGTGGCGGCTGCTGTCTCTGTCTCTGCCTGGCAGAGACGCAGTGTGTCGAGATGTCGGCGTGGCTCGTGCTGTGAGTCCGCCATTTATGGCCTTTGTTTGGGTACACGATCCCTTCGTTTGTTGTTCCACGCCGGAGCCAGGGGCGAGGACAGTGTGTGTGTGTGTGTGTCCATGTCTGAAATGTCAGGAAAAAAATGCGCTAGAGCAGCTGTGTTTGTGTGACATAAGCTGACAATCAAAGACTATGCAAACACATATACACATACAAACGGAGACACGTAACATATCCGCTCTCTGCTCCCATGACCGGTTCATGAAGCTGTGTCAGTTTCTCCACCGGAGGAACCGCAGCAGGTGCTTATTCTCCTTTGTTGTGCTGAAGTTTGAGCATCAGTAACTTAGAGCTGAAGCTCATGAGCGTTGTTGTTTAGCACTGCATGTAGTCATGAATGTAGCTCTTTGCCTTGTTATTGAGATGTTTGACCTCTTGTTGTTGTTCTTCTCCATTTGAGCCAGGGAGGAAGCAGAAAACTCCAAAGAAGTTCACCGGGGAGCAGCCGTCTATTTCAGGAACATTCGGTTTGAAAGGTAACACAAACACACGTTTTTAGAAAACGGTGGAGACTTACCATGACTTCTGTTGTTCTCAAAGTCTGAATTAATTTGAATTAATAATTAAGTTAATTATTATTGCTAAAGACTCATTTTAACCCTTTACATTTTGCATTTTATGTGAAAAGGATTATTTTGTCCCTTTTTGAAGCTGTTTTCATTTTCATCCACACAGTGAGTTAGTAAACTCACTATTCCTATCCTCACATTCTTCCAGCCAGTAAACTGCATTTTTTATTAAGGGCCAATATTTGCCCTCTGGATTTAATTTTGAGGGGGATTTATTATAGGGCACATTTTTGTACCCATAAAAATAAGCACAGTGTGCTGTCCATATGTATAAACCTGAATCAGTGAAGTTGTATGGCAGTTAAAAACAAAACACATCAATCAACATCAAATAGAAAAATCTGTACCAAACTATGTTACAGACTTTTCATTAAGACCCTAAAGAATCATATCAACTTGTGGAAAATGGGCATCCTATGACCCTTTTAAATAACAGTATTGGTAAATGACTAAATAGTAGACATACTGCTGGGACACACAGAGCACAGAAATGCAACCCACTGAGCCTTGAGCTGGAGCTGCACCACAAGACCCACTAAACCCAGAGGTGGAGCTGCATCTTGGGGCTCACTAAGCCCAGAAGTGCAGCTGCGCCAAAAGGCCCAATAGGGCTGTACAATCACAAGCGAAATGTTTATATCAGACCTTGCTTCATGCTTTATGACATGCCTTGAAGAGAATCTTCAGAATTTCTCAATATTTAAGGCTTTTGGTATTGAACCAGTCCATCTTCTGTCTCAAAAATGAAGAAGTTCTCCATGGACTTCAATGTAGTTGTTGTTTCAGGTTCTAAATCCATATTTTATCTGATATTTGTAACTCTTATAGACCTAGAATAAAGAACAGCAAGTAAGGTTCTGTTAGTGAACATCAGTTAATGCAATTAACAATGAGTAATACATTTGTTACAATATTTATTAATCGTAATTAATCGCTCTCCAGGAGTCTGACACCCCTGCTTTAGAAGTATTGTTCATTGTTAGTTCATGTTAACTAATGTAGCCTTATGGTGAAGTGTTACCAGAATATCAAATTCTGTCATTTTAAATGACAGCAGAATTTATTACAGAGGCATTCTTTACACATATCATTTAAATTTCTCTTTCTTTTTTTTTTTTTCTTTTTTTATTACAATCATTGCCATGACCCCTTCTTTTTATGACTGACTGCCTTACAGTGGTTTGTTGTCAGTGTTATATCAGAAGTGACTGACTTTCAGAATTTAGTCCTGGCCTCCTTTCAATAAACACTCCTTGAGATTTCAGTGGTATTTTTGCCCCTGTATGTTTACAATTATCAACTGTATACTCTGATAGTAATTACCCCTGTTGGTGCTAATAGGGGGTCTATAAGGTCTATTCTAGAAGTGTTTCATTTCCTGTTGAAGTTATAATGGTACATGTTCAAGAAACACTTCACCACAAAACTGACTACAACACAACACGCCTCTTTGACCACCAAGAGAGTTTGAGAGTTTCATTTTCTCATTTCTCTTTTGTTTGTTCTTTTTTTTTAGTCATACATTTATTTTTTTGACTTGTGAGGTCTCTGCTTTCCCTGAATGTAATTAGTTATGTGTTGTACAGGAATGAATAAGGTGGAGGAGAAGTTGAAAGCAGGTCGGATGAAGAGGGCGGAAGGGGCTCTGTTCACCGAGGAGTCCCGGAGGAAGCAGTCAGTTCAAGCTCCCACCAGAAAAGAGACTGCTGCTATCAGTTCAGGTCTCTCTCTCTGCTCTGCCTGCATGTTTGCATGAATAAAATCATCCAGTACATTTGTACTGCCAAAGCAGTGCAACATAGCTCAAATAAAGCAAAATAGCACAACTAGTGCAAAATAGTACTAATAATAGTACAAGTCAAGTAAATAGTACTATTATGAAATAAAGTGAAAAAAAAAATGTAATGCATATGAAATAATATAGAAATGTACTCTACCGTTTGAAAGTTTTGGGGTCAGTACGTTTTTGTTTATTTATTTATCTATTTATTTATTTATTCATTTATTTTAAGAAATGAGTGTCACCATACTTTTATTCAGAAAATTAATTAAAATTGTCAGTAAATGCAATTGTAAAATTACAAAAGATGCTGCTCTTTTTAACTTTCTATTCATCAAAGAATCCTGAAAAAAAATTATCATGGTTTCCACAAAAATATTTTTGTTTTCAGCATTGATAATAATTGGATCATGTGTCACTGATGACTGGAGTAATGATGCTGAAAATTCAGCTTTGCACCACAAGAATAAATTGCATTTTAAAATATATTAAAAGTGAAAACAGTTCTTTTAAACTATAAAACATATTTCAAAATATTACAATTTTTATTGTATTATTTATTTATTTATTTTTATAAAATAAGTCCAGTCTTAGTGAGCATGTTTCAAAAACATTAAAAAACCTTGCCGACCCCAAACTTTGAAACAGTGGTGTAACTTACGTTAATGTAATTTTAATTAAATGTGTTTTATCTTAATCTTTCTGTCTCAGTTCCCTCTGCTGAAGCCCAGTGGCAGAACACCATCTCTGAGAGAGGGGAAGTGGTCTGTCCCACCTGCTCTGTTGTCACTCGCAAGACCGTCCACGGTCTCAAGAAGCACATGGAGATCTGTCAGAAGGTCAGAGGTCACTCTGAAACACACTATTGTCATTATTACAGCACTAGCGTAGGCTTAGAGGAACACATTATTTTATAAATGACTCTCAAGATTCTCAGTGGACAGATTTGTTTAAAGGTGAAGATAAGGTTGCTTTGGGCATCCCAACTAGCCCAGCCAATGGAGTTTACATCTGTTTGTTTATCCGTTAGCAAACAAGAAAAGTGTTCAGGAAACCTATTTGAAAACAGTCATTATTTTGGTGGTGCCAGTGGCACAGAATGGCTTACTTTACCCTTGAATCAAACACATTGGTCTCTGTTTGAGAAACTTGTTTACCTTTCTTAAGATATTGACCGCAATTCCCTAATTCTAAGGTCTTGTACCTCAGTTATTGCTAACCCAAGCGTCCCATGTGGAGTCTTCTTACAACCGCGCTCCTCTAAAGAAGACAACATCTGTCTCAGTTTTCTAAACACATCAAACGTAATGTGGCAGATGTGCTCAAGCTCTTCCATATGAAGAAGGACAAAGCCTTATTCATGAAACTCAAGCAGAAAGAATTTCTGACTGTAAATCGTATGTAAAAACATTCGTACATAAATTGTCGTACCCAGTTCATTGGGGTGGTTTATGTAAGAACGGATTGATGAGCGATTTTCACAGAAATTTGTTCTGCTTGCGTTTTGTGAATGAGACCCAAAGAATGATGAAGAATGAAACCTTTAATGTATGACTCTCTCTCTGTTATTTATACAACCAAATGGCAGAGGAAGCGGAGAGGAGAATGTTTCAGGCGTGCAATTAGACACCTCTCTCTCAGGAACTCGCGCAGGGGGCCAGAGGGAGCCATTAGGGGCACTTTATTGATTGGGCGTCTGTGAGTGGCCCTGCCTTGTGTGCATCTGGAGTTGAGTATTATAGTGCCAGCCCAGTGTATAGCACAACTCTATAAAAATGATGACATGTCTATTAAAGGGGGAATCGATTGGCTGCGTTATTGTGGGGTCACAAGTAATTGTAGTTTCTCTGGCCTCTTCCTCGGCCCTATGAGAAATCAATGATGGCTGTGATGGGCATTAAGCGAGAAGACATTTTATGGCAAAGGAAATTCATTAAAATGATAATCATTGACCTTATTTTCTCATTTGTGTTTTTGTGAATGTCAATGCAGAAATGAATAATTTTATTCTGCAAGGATGCATTAAATTGATCAAGTGCCAGTAATAACATTTATAATGTTACAAAAGAAGCAGCATAACTCTTTTCAACATTGATAATAATAAGAAATGTTTCTTGAGCAGCTAATCATCATATTAGAATGATTTATGAAAGATCATGTGACACTGAAGACAATCAAAAATTAAGTTTTAATATATTTACAGTAGGAAATTTACAAAATATATTCATGGAACATGATCTTTACTTAATATCCTAATGATTTTTGGCATAAAAGAAAAATTGATAATTTTGACCCATACAATGTATTTTTGGCTATTTCTACAAATATACCCCAGCGACTTAAGACTGGTTTTGTGCTCCAGGGTCACATATATTCAAATAGAAAACTATTATTTTAAATTGTAATAAAAATCCCACAATATTACAGTTTTTTCTGTATTTTGAATTTAATAAATGCAGACTTTGTGAGCATAAGAGACTTCTTTCAAAAACTCTGGCAAAAAGCAAATTGTGGACAGAAATTGTCCTCTGATTTTCGCGCCAAAGTGTTCATGGAACAAAAGCTACTTTTTGCTTGGCATTGTAAAATTTTCACATACCTAGAAAGTGAATCCTGCATCAGATATTCACATGCTTCACTGCAGAATACAAACCATCTGAGAATACAGATTTCACTCGCTTCAATGCAAATAACTGAATGCTTTGTCAATAAATTAATTTTGTCTCTGCCATGAACTGAATAGGGCTGCGTTTCCCAAAAGCTCCGTAAGCCTAAGAAGTTCGTAAAAACGATCGTACGACTGATCTTATATTACGGTCTGTTTCCCAAAAGCATCGTAACTTAAGTAGCACTTGAAAATCATCGTAGATCTACGAGTGCTCTGGAGTAATGGTAAAGCCCTAAGTGCATCGTAAGAAGAGGCAGAAAAAATAGAAATACACATCTAAATTAAATGACTGAACAAAAAAATTAATAAAAGAAGTAATGTAGGAAATATGCTTCAAAGACTGAGGGAAAAAAATCTGTCAATGACTTGCTGATGTGCACGAAAACCAGTCATGTATTGGACCCAGAAAAAACATCTCTCTCTCTCTCTCTCTCTCTCTCTCTATATATATATATAAGTATATTATATATTATGTAAAGTATAATATAATATAATATTGTATTATAGTTATTATATCCGAGTTGTCTGGAACGCAGCATTAGTTTAACATTTCAATAAACGAGCGTTTACTACAATTACGAGCCATTCTATAAGGTGACATTTCAGCACTTGACAAACGGATAGCGACTCCTAAGTAGCACTTAAAGCACAGCTACTCGTGATTGTGTTAAGTGCATTTTTGGGAAACGCACATAAAACAATAACAAACGATCGTAAATTGACTAGTAGAAAACGCTCTTAAAGGGATAGTTCACCCAAAAATGAAAATTTGATGTTTATCTGCTTACCCCCAGAGCATCCAAGATGTAGGTGACTTTGTTTCTTCAGTAGAACACAAACGAAGATTTTAAACTCAAACCGTTGCAATCTGTCAGTCTTATAATGGAAGTGAATGGGAATCACGGCTTTGAGAGTCAAAAAAACATACACAAACAAAACCAAATTAAACCCTGCGGCTCGTGACGATACATTGATGTGTAAAGACACGAAACGATCGGTCTGTGCAAGAAACTGAACAGTATTTATATCGGGTTTTTTTTACCTCTGATTCACCGCAATGTCCGAACTGTTCTGAGCACATTGACACTCCTAATTGAGATTGTAGAGTGTCAATGGTCCATTTGATAGGTGGCGGTAATGCACTTATAAGTCTGCGATCCACCGTAAAGCAAGAAGAAGAAGACGTCTCATGCGCCGGCTGTTGAGAACGCGCTCAGGACAGTTTGGACATTGCGGTGAATCAGAGGTAAAAAACGATATAAATACTGTTCAGTTTCTTGCACAGGCCGATCATTTCGTGTCTTTACACATCAATGTATCGTCATGAGCAGCAGGGTTTAATTTGGTTTTGTTTGTGTATGTTTTTTTGACTCTCAAAGCCGTGATTCCCATTCACCTCCATTATAAGACTGACAGACTGCAACGGTTTGAGTTAAAAATCTTCGTTTGTGTTCTACTGAAGAAACAAAGTCACCTACATCTTGGATGCCCTGGGGGTAAGCAGATAAACATCAAATTTTCATTTTTGGGTGAACTATCCCTTTAAGCGCTAAGATCAATCGTTATTGAGAAACACAGCCTAGGTCGATAGGAATGCATGTTTCACGTCTGTCTGAAAACCCAAATCTTATATCTTATCGATCAGCAAGTTAATTTTGACAAAATAAAGAAAAAAAACTGACTGACAGGAAATGTTTCTTTGTTGCTGAATGAAGACAGTTGTTTCGTCGTAAAATTTTTGTGAATAGGCCTTGAATTTGTTCAAATAATTTACATAATTACACATGATAAAATAAATAGTTCTTTATTGTTAATAGTTCTTTTTATATAAAATCTTGTTTACTTCATTCCTGTGGTTTTCTTTTAGCAGATTATAAAAAGTTAAGTGTGTAATTTTTGTGCCATTAACATCACCACACGAAATAAAATAAAAAAATAGTAAAAATTCAATGACCTTCATGCCTTTGAACCAAATTCACATTATTGTCAACAATCAAAGTTGTTGTGTGGGGCTGGTAGAGAATATGTTGATGCTTTTCAGTGGAATAATCCTACAAATGCTTTATTTGTACTTTACTTTATTAGTTGACTGCTTCAAGCGGATCATTGTATCATTGTAATTGGTATATCAAATATAAAATGTCATATTTCTAACCATGATTTCATGATATTTGAGGTGGACATCATAAAGTGTGGTCTTTTTCTTGTAGCTGCGGGACGCTCTCAAATGTCAGCAGTGTCAGAAACAGTTCCGATCAAAAGCTGGACTCAATTACCACAGCATGGCTGACCACGTTAAGGTGAGCGGCGGTGCCAGAACAAATGTACTTAATTTTTTAATACGAATTAACTGCAGATCTATAGCAGAGCTTATCTCCTAGATGTCAAAACTGATGAAAATATGATTTGAAATACAATGTATAAATCATTTAAACAATTAAAATGGCACCATCTTTAACATCAGCTGTTCTGTATATAAATGAAAAGTTCAAACTCTTAAAAAGTGTTGTTCTTTCTCTTCACTCTGAGCCATTACACTTTAGCATACTTTTAAAAAGATTACTAATTGTGGAAATAATTTAGTTTAAAGGAATGTGTGAACCAAATGTAATGTTTTAAGACACCTAATTGCATGTTATTTACAATTCAATTAAAATGTATCATAGTTTACATTTCTATTAAATGCAATTAGCTTTTTTTAAGTATGTCTGATGTATGAAATATCATAATTACTTGTGTACTTGTCTTTGAAATATGGTTAAAGTGTACTGCCAAATGTTCTGACAAGCATTTGTGGTAAAGTATACTTTAATGTCATTTCTTTTAAAACTTGTATGTCCTGTATTTAAATATTTTGGTAATTACACGTTTGTAATATTGAAATTGTAATTTAGTACATTTATATCAAAAAACACACTACAGTTAAAATTGTCATGTATTTTACATGTGCTTTAGTATGTTAGTCAAAACATCAAAACTCACTTAAATGGCCTTTTATTTAATTAAAATTATAATACCAGCCAGTACAGTTTTAAAAAATATACTTTTAAGTTTTGAAGTGTGAGTGTACATTTAATAAAATTAAGAGCACTTAATTTTACCAGGGGACTCCACAGGAAAAAAGGCACCTGGTTGAAACAAACAAACAAAACTGTAACTATAGCACTTTAATACCTTTAATAAACTAGTGGAGCTGTGTGTGTACAGTATATGCAGCAGAACAGTGTTTAATATTACATACAGTGTCCACTTCAGAAACCAGCGGCTGCCCTGTGTCCACATCGGCCTCTAATCTCTATTATATCTGACACCATCTCTATACTCCAGAATCACTTTAAGACCGAAAGCATCCATTAGGTTCTAACCATTAACTGCACATATGGGAAAAGGTCTAGCTCATGTCTAGTAATGCCTTTTAAAACAGTCTTCAAGCAGTATTTCAACTGTAATGATTGTCTCCTGTTCCCCAGTCTTATTTCTGTACAGTGATAATTTCCTCAACATTCCTAAGCTATTAACAGCTTTCCTGCCAGTAATCTTCTCCACGGTAAATCATGGTAATCTGCCTTATGAGTAAAGTTCATCTGTTTTTTTCCCAGTCAAATTCAGCCAATGTCTAAATAGGAACGGCACATACCATAATGATGATGGTGTCCCTTGTGACCCTTGTGAGGTTTAGTGTAAAAACATGAGAGAGAAACGCTGGTTAAAGAGGGCCATGAGGATGTAAGATCCATCTGCCAAGCTCAAGCATTAGCTGCAAACAATATTTCTAATGAAATGTGTTAAATTATGCACAACCAAATGTCTCAGAAACAGTATGAAACATTAATGAGGATGTGCATTTAGGTCTGTGATTTGGTATTCGAGCCAGGTGCTGAGTCTCACTGAGCCAAACATTTGAGAATCAGCATAAGGTCTGGGCCACATTGCAGCTTATTCTAGCCAAGATCCGCCCACTTTGTCAGGAAGAGAATGACAAGTGTATAATGTGATTTCAGGGCAGGTTTTCTGAGGTAGTTGAAAACAAATTACTCCAAAAAAAATTCTGATTCACCAAAATGAACATTCTTGACCGAAAGTGAAACGCCTAAAAATGAAAACAATGGAGACAGATACCAAAAAATAGGGATGCATGATATAAGATTTTTGCTGTAATCCGATATGCCAGTGTTTTTCAAATCATTTTGGCCGATAGCCGATGCCGATATATATTTCACTTTGTTTTGAAACAACAACAAATTATTAAAAAATTTTGGTTAGTACATTGAAAGCCTTGAAAATAACTATAATAAAATCAATCTCTGCTGGGGTTTTTTTCAGACAGTTGAAACCTTTGAAACATTTTATTTGTGGATTTAACATTAAAAGACGGTCTAAAGCAAATGAGCTGTAAAAAAATTCCTTGTATTTAAGTTTTCATAATCCATTTGAAAAAATATATTACATATTAATGAATAAATCTGTATATATTAAATCATTTAATTTACAAGTTTCATGTTTGTGATTTTTATTCATGTAAGCTATAGCTTCTGACCTTTAAATCAAAACAGACTTGTGATTTTATGACATCGATACTGCTTGATTTATTTAGAAACACAAGTATCTTAATGATATTTGTGTATTTCACTTTCATTTTATTACAACTAGGCCAATACCGCCCCCTAAGTAAATCTGTGTTTTGAGTGCCTCTGGGTATTAGCACTGACATATTTTGGTTTAACAGTCTGCAAGTTAATTTTTTCAGTACAGAACTGAAGTTACATCTCAGGCTTAGCGTTCAGGTGCTGTGTTGAGGTGTCTAGTGTCCTGTTTAGTTTGGTCTCTTATGTCTCACTTCCCCTGCTGATGTTTTTAACAGGCCAAATACCGTGTCGTAAAATACGCTGCTGTTAAGACGCCTTGAGGAAATGCTCCTCTATAAAGGTTTTGAAGAGTGCCAGGCATCTGGCTTTCAGAAAGCAGTGACTGAAACGCACTGTTGTAAAGGCTTGAGGAAGAGTTTCTGGAAAGACACTAATGTGTTGCATTGTATTTGTTTCCCATTTGTAAGCCCTCGGCGAGTGAAAATGTGTCCGAGGAGCAGGAGGAGAGAGAGAGGCTGCGCTGTGTCCTCAAACAGATGGGCCGAATCAAATGTCCCAGTGAGGTAGGAATTTGTCACTGGTGCCTGCTGTCTGTCTGTTTCCCTAGATGGCACTGGCTGTCCTTAATATGTCCTAATTTCTGCCTCCTTTCTGTCTCACTTTCTCTGTTTTGACTTTTGTCTACTTGTGCACACTTCAGTCTGTCTGTATGTCTGTCTGCCTGTCTGTCTGTCTGCCTGTCTGTCTGTCTGTCTGTCTGTCTGTCTGCTTGTCTTTCTATCTATCTGTCTGTCTGTATCTATCTATCTATCTATCTATCTGTCTGTCTGTCTGTCTGTCTGTCTGTCTGTCTTTCAATTCAATTCAATTCAATTCAATTCAATTCAAAATGGCTTTATTGGCATGACTGTAAATTATACAATATTGCCAAAGCTTAGTATACATTTACAAAAAGATAAAAAATAATAATATTATAACAATAATAATAATTAAATTAACATCACAGTAATAGATTGGAATATTATAACATCTTAGAAGTATTAAACTGTAACAAATTATAACGTGTGACCATTTGATACCACAGTCTTTAACTTACATAGAAACACACATACATACTAAGGATCACTGTGGTGGACAGTAGGGTAACACACTGAGGTCAGACACAACACACATTCACCTGCTGTCTCTCTCACACACATACACACACACACACACACACACACAACACACATTCACCTGCTGTCTCTCAGGCTGTGGCACATCCACACGTATCTCGCAGCAAGTGCTGCTGTCTGTCCCTCTCCTAATACTATCTTTATTTGTTCTGTTTCACTAATGGCTGTAAAGTTCTTTATTAAGTTGGTGAATTTGTTGAAGTAGAGGTTTCTTATGGATATGTATTTATGACAGTGAAGGAGGAAGTGCGTCTCTGTCTCGATCTCTCCTGTCTCACAGTGAGCACACACTCTTTGCTCTCTGGGTAACCAGCTCTTTCTGTGTCTGCCGGTCTCGATGGCTAGACTGTGCTCACTGAGCCTGTACTTGCTCAGGATCCGTCTCTGCTTTGTGTCTCTGACACTCTGGAGATAATCTTCCAATTCATAATTTGATTTTAGAGTTCGATAGAATTGTAATTTACTTTGTGTTTTAGTTTCTTGATCCCAATGTTCCAGATATGTATTTTTATAATATAATAACAATAATAATAATTAAATGAACATCACAGTAATAGATTGGAATATTATAACATCTTAGAAGTATTAAACTGTAACAAATTATAACGTGTGACCATTTGATACCACAGTCTTTAACTTACATAGAAACACACATACATACTAAGGATCACTGTGGTGGACAGTAGGGTAACACACATTCACCTGCTGTCTCTCTCACACACATACACACACACACACACACACACATTCACCTGCTGTCTCTCACTCACTCACACATCCACACGTATCTCGCAGCAAGTGCTGCTGTCTGTCCCTCTCCTAATACTATCTTTATTTGTTCTGTTTCACTAGTGGCTGTAAAGTTCTTTATTAAGTTAGTGAATTTGTTGAAGTAGAGGTCTCTTATGGGTATGTATTTATGACAGTGAAGGAGGAAGTGCATCTCTGTCTCGATCTCTCCTGTCTGACAGTGAGCACACAATCTTTGCTCTCTGGGTAACCAGCTCTTTCTGTGTCTGCCGGTCTCGATGGCTAGACTGTGCTCACTGAGCCTGTACTTGG